AGTTATGATGTTGAGTTTCTTCTTTGATAGTGTGATTTGGACTGGTTTTAGCACTGAGGTGCTAACTTACTGAAAGCTGCGAATCCTGCGATACAGTGTAAATGCAGTGTGGACAAAGGTCCGATCTTAGTTTGACTGATGACTATAGTGGCTGAGGTTCAAAACAGCTAGGTAATGGGACTAACACACACAGAATGACCAGTAAATGCAGCTGTAAGCCACAATGACAAAGTTGCACCACATGACACAACACCAATCAATCACTTTTAAGGGAACAAGAGCATCACTGCACTGACTTTAGACTAAAATGCAGTACAAAAAGGTAAACAGTAAGTTTCATATAGAGGACAGGTAATGATGAAGCTAGACTTAAATTTACATTGCCCACATAAGAGCCACAGTTCAGCATGCTGACAGCAAGGCCACAAATCTGACCCCTACCTTTTTTGAACAAGAACTTATAGTGTAATTTACTAATAGCAAAGGACCTATGCAAACTAGACTGGAAAATGTAACAGGCAGTGCTACATAAAGGCTTGTGTGTGAAGGCCCGTTAACACAGCACAACACAAACACACTCATCAAACAGATTCCTGACTCAGACTCCCCACCATCCACATCATCTGAACATCTCCAGGTTACGAATGTAACCATGGTTCCCAGAGGGAACGAGACGCTGCGTCGGAAAACACTTTGGGAACACCTTCAGCGTGACCATGCTCTGAATCACATGTTAAATCAGTACAATAGATGGGCAAGACGTCATGGGTGGGTGATGTTTTGACCAGGAAACTATAAAAGCACGTGCGGTGGAACCAGCATCAGCTTCTAGGAATGAAGAAAGCGCTCACAGGGATGCCGGAAGTATGGCACTGAGAAGCAGCGTGACCTGCGTCACCTGGAGACGTTCCCCTTCAGGAAGTTGAGCTGTGTCGGAAAACGCTTTAGGAACGAGTATGCCCACGCGGCCAGACTTACAAATTCCTGCCTAGTGTGGAAGAGCACAGCTAAGGCGAGAGAAAGGAGAAACCTCAGTTGAGAGACAGGAAACTGCGAGTTGTACCCACTCAGGGGCCACACCCACGCTTCCACAGCTCCGGACGGGGGTGAAGATAGTACCCTCCGCCTGTGAGAGGAGATCCCTCCTGACAGGAATCTCCCATGGAGAGCCATCGAGAAGGGAAATCAGATCCGAGAACCATACTCGGACCAGCCAGAATGGGGCACTAGCAGCAAACGGACCCCATCCCGGTTAATTCTCTCCAGAACTCCCGGGAGTAGAGAGATCGGGGGAAAGGCGTACAGATGAAGCCTTGGCCAAATCTGTACCATGACAGCCCTAATGGAGCTGGATGAGTCAGAGAGAACCAGAGGGGACAGTGCGATGTGTCCAGAGTTGCAAACAGGTCCACCTGAGCCTGGCCAAAAACTCTCCACATCTGCTTCAGCACCTCGGGGTGAAGCCTTGATTGCCCGGGCCTCGGCCCCTGCCTCGACAGGATGTTGGCTCCGAGCAGGAGACAGAAGTGCCTGCATCGTGGTCGAATCCCACACCACGTCCAGATAAGTGGCTCTCTGTACTGGAGAAAGCACACTTTTCTTGGCGTTAAGTCTAAACCCCAGCTCTTTCATGTGAGCGAGAACAACATCTTGATGCCGAACCGCCATCTGCTTAGATTGAGCTAATATCAACCAATCGTCGATTTGGTTGAGTATGTGGATCCCTTGGAGTCACAGAGGAGCCAGAACAGCATTCACACACTTCGTTCCCAGTGCGGGGTGAGAGTGCAAGGCCGAACGGAAGAATCCGGTTCCTTTCTTGGAACGATGAAGTACCGGCTGTAGAACCCAAGCTGTCTCTCGAGAGGAGGGACCACCTCGATGGCCTCCTTCCTCAAGAGAGTGTTAACTTCTTGTTCCATTACCAGAGCCTGCTTGGGGCCCACCATAGTGGGAATGACCCCGTTGAAACGAGGTAGAGGAGAGCCGAACTGATTCGGTAGCCTCATTCTACAGTGTGCAGGACCCATTGAGACACATTTGGCAGAAGTTTCCACGCTGCCAAAAAGGTCTACTAAGGGACTCAGTCTCTCGAGACTGCCCTCTGGTGCACTTAGAGCAGCTAGGTCGGTGCCCTGAAGCAGTAAACTAGCAGGGGACGGCCGAACTAGCTGCTCTAGGAACTTCCGAAGAGGAGAGAAGCGCTCGCCGGAGACGGCTGCGCCCTGAAGCACCATAGGTGGCAGGGTTGGCAGAACGATCTCCTGAGGGCACTGAGGAGAGATGGGCACCGTATAATGAAGTGTACACAGCTCTTCCCCAGAGGGGCCTGCCCTCCAAAAGTCCTGAGCAATGGCATCAGGACTCTCTTAGCTGAAGTCTCCTATTGAAAACGACGGTCCTCAGCCCCGCGTCATCTCCTAGGAAGACTAGACTGATAGAACCAGAGCCTGCTCGGGGCAAGACCCAATGAGACACGCTTGGTTGGGGCTCCCACACCACCAGGTGACTTACTAAGGGAACAAGTCTCTTGAGACTGGTGCACTTAGAGCAGCTAGGTCGGTGCCCTGAAGTGGCCCTAGAACCCTCAGAAGAGGTAGCGAGCCTCTTAGTACTGCTACGTTTCCGGGCGGTGACTGAGAGAAGCGCTCGCCAAAGACCGCTGCGCCCTGAAGCACCGTAGGTGGTAGGGTTGACAGATCGATCTCCTGAGAGCACTGAGGAGAGACGGGCACCATATAATGAGGTGTACCCCGCTCTTCCCCAGAGGGGACCGGCCCTCAGAAGTCCTGGGCCCTAGGCGTCAGGACGTTTTAGCCGAAGTCTATCCAGCGAGAATGACGGTCCGCAAATCCACCTTCCACTAGAAGCCTTCGGCCCGGGAGCGCCACTCTGACTCTAAATTCTGAGGAGTACGAAAAGTGACTATATGAAGTGACTATATGAAGAGCTGGAACACGGTTGGTTGGGGCTGCTCCCGCCCAGCAGCCCCTGTTGACCACCTCAACCTCCTCGGAGGAAGAGAGGTAAATGCGTGCTCTCACTCGAGTAAATTTATTTATTTATTCCCAAGAGCTCCTGTATATCTAACTTCTCATAGTCAGAAGAAATACTTCATTTTAATTCCTCAGAATAAAATGCAGCCAAACAACCAGACAAGTAAACACGGCCTGGTGTGATAAGATTCATATCAAAACCAAAAATTATGTAATGCACGCGCTGCCGAAGCAGCTCGGTCACAAAAACAATATCAGTCTCCTCAGAAAAAGATAGCTGCAGCAGCGAGCTCTCACTCAGAGAGGGAAGAAACCACAGCGCGGGCTTCCAAACCGAGAGAGAGAAAGAGAGAGAGAGCGCTAGATCTAGGGAACGTGGGTGGAGATAGGGAGAGCCCATCTGCCAGATCATGTGTGATCCCCGCGATCTCAATTGCTGCAGTGCCTCAGCAGCAGTGGGACCGGAACCACAAGATCCCCCTCGAGAGCTGAATCTGCGTGCTTCGCTCCCAAGCAGACAACACACAAACTTTGTGTATCCCCACCCGAAATATAGCACGGGCAGGGAGGAACACACAGCATGAATGCTGTCTGCTCTCACCCAAATGCTTCTTTTTGGCTGAAGCTTGACATAATGGAGCTTATTAGTAGACAAACAACACTAAATAAGACTCACAAACAGATAGCGACTTACACACACACACAGAGCGCTTGCTGAATGACAAAAAGCTGACGCCGGTTCCACCGCATGTGCTTTTAAAGCTTTCTGGTCACAACGTCACCCGCCCAAGAGAGAGAGAGCGCTAGATCTAGGGAACGTGGGTGGAGATAGGGAGAGCCCATCTGCCAGATCATGTGTGATCCCCGCGATCTCAATTGCTGCAGTGCCTCAGCAGCAGTGGGACCGGAACCACAAGATCCCCCTCGAGAGCTGAATCTGTGTGCTTCGCTCCCAAGCAGACAACACACAAACTGTGTGTATCCCGACCCGAAATATAGCACGGGCAGGGAGGAACACACAGCATGAATGCTGTCTGCTCTCACCCAAATGCTTCTTTTTGGCTGAAGCTTGACATAATGGAGCTTATTAGTAGACAAACAACACTAAATAAGACTCACAAACAGATAGCGACTTACACACACACACAGGGCGCTTGCTGAATGACAAAAAGCTGACGCCGGTTCCACCGCATGTGCTTTTAAAGCTTTCTGGTCACAACGTCACCCGCCCATGACGTCTTGCCCATCTACTGTACTGATTACACGTGATTCAGAGCATGGTCACACTGAAGGCGTTCCCAAAGCATTTTCCGACGCAGCTCGAGTTCCTGAAGGGGAACCACATTTGCAACACAGACACACACAACTGTCAGAACTTCAGCATAGCTGCTATAACTAACTAACTCTCCAGGTAGCCTCTATTAGTCCCAGTATTATCAGCCTGCATTTATGAGTGAGGTTTATGAGCAACTTTTCTCAATAAGAAAAATCTTAAGTAGATTGTTTAACTTATAATAATAACTTGTGACAAACTGGTTTTAAAAGATGTGTATTTTATAGTATCAACATTATTCTAAAGCACCACTAAAGACCATGGAAAAATAAAACTCCAGAGACAATTACATTCTCCTGCTGGTTAAGACGGCTGTTTAATAGCAGGCTTCTGGATTGCCTTTCACTTTTTTCTGTCACTCTCAGCATCTCTCACTATCTCTCCAACCCTCAAAAAAGTCTTTTGAGACTCTGCAAAAGCCCTTGACCAAAAGAGGCTTACTCTGAGGTATTTCCAGAGGATTTCTCCTCTCCTAAACGACAGTGCTCTTATGTGTTTACTAGGATGCCAAATCTGAGACAGACTGGCCCTCCCTCCACCCCTCTCTCTTCTTCACAATACAGCGCTGTCACCAGACGTCGAATAAATGGATTACTCGAAAGAACTATATCAGAAGCGCTTTCAAATCAAAGACTTGCTCTACAAAATACCACAGAGATACCAAGTCTTACCATGTTTGGAATGAAGTTTACCCATTTCTCTGCATCGGAGAGCAATTGAGAAACATCAGAAATGAAAAAAAAAACACAATCCAGAGAGAGTGCGATATTTGTGAGCGTCCGTAAAGAAGAGCGCGCGGGTTCCGTACACATCCGGCAGCGGCGGAGGATCGAGTGATCTGCGGCTCGAGCGGACGAGGCGCGAGGCGCTGCAGCCACTCAGCGAGCGTGATTGACGCCGCGCGCAGGCCGCCTCTCCTTCAGTCTGATTGGACCGAGGCGGCACATGAAAGGGAAGCGGGATTCTTTTGGAGTCTCCAAATATAAAAAGAGCAGCGCAAACTAAGGCCCCCGTCGGCGCAATGAGCAGGATGTCAGCTAAACACGTCCAGCCGAGCGGACACCAATCGCTGCTTTGGACAGGAGCTGGATAACATTAAAGAGTGCAAAATGATTGTCTGGATGAACTGTAAATTCGACTCTGGTAACAAGTTAGCTTGAAACTTTTTTTTTAACTAGCTATGTACTGTAGCTAGCCTATATAGCGCACTAATTATGTACACCAATAATGGTCAAGGCTATGTGTGAACAAACCTCACAGATAGAATCTACCTAGAATCAGTCCTATCTTATCATCTATCTATCTATCTATCTATCTATCTATCTATCTGTCTATCTATCTATCTATCTATCTATCTATCTATCTATCTATCTATCTATCATCTATCTATCATCTATCTATCTATCTATCGGTCTGTCTGTCATTAACAATACTTTATTGACAATATCGTTAACAATTATAATTACAACACCAAAATTATGAATTCAAATAGAAAATAGATGCATTTGTTGAAATAAATATATGTTAAAATGTATTAAATTTAAAATAAAAAGTAAATAAATGCAGGTGATATATGACATTTAAAGACCATTTAAGAAAAAGCAAAAAAATGTTAGCTCCCCCAGTCCCTTATCCTGAGAATTTCTTTCTCCATAGTACATTAAGAAACCGCAGCTTGACACAGGAACATGCAGGTTACACCAGTCACACCAACAGAGGGAAGAACAGAACAGAATTCATCTCTCATACAAATCAGCAGCACAAAGTGCTTCTTTCTCTGTGCACAGTGTTCTATAGATGACAAACACACAGTCTATATTTGTGCTGCAGCTCATGATGCTTTTGTGAAACCCATTACTTGGATTCCAACTTGTCTATTGGCATAATTTAAAGGGGTCATATGATGTTGCTAAAAAGAACATTATTTTGTGTATTTGGTGTAATGAAATGTGTTTATGCAGTTTAAGGTTAAAAAAACACATTATTTTCCACATACTGTACATTATTGTTTCTCCTCAATGCCCCGCCTTTCTGAAACGCGTCGATTTTTACAAAGCTCATCGGTCTGAAAAGCGAGGTGTGCTCTGATTGGCCAGCTATCCAGTGCGTTGTGATTGGCCGAATACCTCAAACGTGTGACGGAAATGTTACGCCCCTTGCTTAACATATTGTGATGCCTTGTCCCGGCCGGAGCGACGAGACAAAAACATTAAAACCCATTATAAACGAGGCACTTGTTGCATCCAGTGGGGACATAATTACGGTTTTTAATGACTTATACTGTCTTTTTACGCGTTGCATTGCATCGTGCCGCGTAAACAAAACCATGTCTGCATTTGTGATCGGAGAAATGACAAACTACAAACGCTACTCTACACTGCTCAAAACTCACGTTTGAATCGTCAGTGGCAAATTCTTTAAATATAAAAAACTTACTTACAGTCTGTGAGTCAGAACAGCCTGCTAACATTGTAGTCTGCTATCCCAGGATCAGGAAACAGTACTGCATAAAATGCGCGGGACACATTGGAATATTTGGGTTATACTGTTCTGGAACAGTGTTGTAAATACAACTTAACCACTGATTTCTAGTCGTGTCCTCTTTTGGAAGGCCAAACAAAGTAGTTTTGCTTTCACAACGAAACACAGCGTCAAACACGGTGGGCTAGAGTGAGCGGAGGCCGGCTTGAGTGAACGGAGGCCGGCGGGCTTATGGCAACCACATGTGACGACCCCGGGCTGGACTCCGCTTCATCCACGGTGAAAGCCGATCCGGCGATCCACAGCGCGAAGTTGATGTATTTCCTCAGCGATCAGCACGGATCAGCTCTAGGCACGATGAAGCGGATATCGTCCTCTTTTGGAAGGCCAAACAAAGTAGTTTCGCTTTCACAACGAAACACACAGCGCCTTCACGACATGGCAGCGGCGGCAACAACAATACTACAGCGAGAATAAAAGTTACGCCTTCTTTCTTTGCGTGAACATTTGGGCGGCGTTATGCAAATCTTCCCACATCGTGACGTAGACATGTGGGGGCGTGTTAGAACGAGCCGTTTTAGGTAGGCGTTGTTGACTTTTATAAAGAATATCTCTTTGGGTTTGAGACTTGAGTCTTTGCAACTTTACAGATCTTCTTGATGCACCAAGAGCTTGTAACACTCCAAAGAGAAAGGAAAAAATTTAATCGCATCATATGACCCCTTTAAAATGATGCAGTGAAGTATTCATGAAAAAAACATCCTGCAAGTATGTATAAAGAACTTCACTTTACAGTCAGTGAAGGTGCAGACAACTACCATAAGCAAGCACAGTGTGATGTAAATAAAGCACTAATATATATAATAGTCAACTGAATTCCTTAAAGTCTTTCTAATGAAAGCTGAATGAGGTTTGAGAAAGTTCTGAAGAAAGACATTCCAGTGCATCACTCTCTACTGTACAAGAAAAACCTTTTCTAGGACAAGTTGCGCGTGTCCTCGGTCGTGGAAAAACTCATGTGTATATGCCAGAGTGGGGCATCAATGTCACAGCAGATTTCAGATCCTGCCTCTCAACAGAGGATTCTGGCTGGCTTTGAACCTCCCAGACACACACGCATTTATACACGCACAGAGATGAGCATGTTATTATACCCTGCATACACATTTTTTTTATCTCTCTCTCTTGCTCACACACTAACACACACGCAAGGGCTGGGAACCAGCCGGCTAGTCGCTTTGACACACTTCCTGTGCTTTGAAGCGGCCAGTGGAGAGATGGCTTTTCCCATCATCGCCTTTGAAGCCTGCATGAGGAGGAGGCTGTGTGTGTACACATGGTATGGGGGAAGGGAGGTACTGACATTAATTCATTGTAATGGCTCATCAGTTGCTTTTACTTTGCGAAATGATTAATGCATCATGCAGATGTTTTCTTTAGAAAGTTCTTGTCTTTCGCAATATGATATCTAATCGAATAAATGATCCAATCTCACCACACGCCCTGTGGTTCTTCTCATGATGGCCCTGCAGTAAAACTGTTACATTCCAAAATGGCATTGGAATGATAATAAACATAATATTTTATCGTTTTAAATCACCTGTAAATATTTCAGCATATAGACAGACAGCAAGAGGAGGACAAGGCCAGCAGCTGTGGGGTGTTCAGTGGACATGTGACCATCGCTTTTTTCTTGTGGGACAAAAGAGTGATGGGTGTGCAAGAGGGCAGAGGGCAACAGTCCTGCAGTACAGTGCAGAGTCCTGGGACGGCTGCAGAACGGTGCTTTGTAAAGACCCAGCATGCTCTGTGTCAGAAGAGGGGTGTCTGGGACAGTTGTGTGTGTTGGGGGAGGGTGGTGAGAGACAGCAGGCTGGCACATAATAATAATAATCAAAATAATCATCATCATCATTTACTTACTCTCATGTCATTCCAAACCTTTACAACTTTCTATATCCTGCTCAACATATTTATAAGAAGTGTTTCTTTTTTCCCATATATTGTAAGTCAGTGGGATCTAAAACAACACTGTTAACCCCATTAACTTGCATTATATGTGGGGGGAGGGGGGCTGAGACAGGAAAAACCTATTTTTTCTTCCACAGAAATAACAGTCATACCATTTTGGAACAACATTAGGGTGAGTAAAAATTAATAAGAGAATGTTTATTTTGGGGTGCTAATTGTAGCATCAAACAAAAGACGAATGATTAAAGATGCACTGAAGCCCAAGATGCTGTGCTCTAGGAATAAAGCATCTTTTTTTAAAGGTTCATCCTGTAATTAAAAGGACGCTGATGTGGTGTTTTATCTTAAGGGCTCCTGGTGTAAAAAGGGGAAACTGTGGTGTCCCACTTAAGAATGCCGTTTTATCTGATGAGGCACACACAAACATCCGGATGCATACACATACTCAAACACATGTAGGGCTCCTCATATACTGGCATCACAGCCAATAGTATTTAACACAAGACATTAACTCTGGTTGTAATGCAGATGCATTTATATGCACTTTAAAAGTTCGTTTTCAGTTGGAATAAAGCAATAACATGCCTTTTTAATATGTAAATGCTTTAATCTGACTGAAATTGTACCAGTTTGGTTTTTGTGACGTCGGACTAACAGATAATGTAACTTTGCTTCTTTCAGCATGTATACACGTTAATCGGACTAGTTGGCATTTGAGAATGTCTCCTTCATGGTTATCGGCGGCTTTTTGGTTCATAAAGGTCACAGATTAGCTTCTTTAATCAACACTGTGAGCTTTGTGTGCACAAAGTAAATATTACTCATACTGATAGTCATACTGATCTAAGACCAGTTTTGCAGCCTAAAATCCTTTTTTAATCATTACTAGGAAAATCACGAAACCGATCACAGGGCAGTGTAAAAGTAAAACTTCTTCCAAAGTGGTTATCTGAGCGTGCGTCCCCTCTCTGTGCTATCTGTGCCCTGCACTGGCTGGTTTTGAAGCAGTTGGGGGGTTTTGCCCCATCCAAAATGAGGACACAATTAGAGCGCTGAGCGGTGAACAGTGGGGATCCCACTTTGAAGTGTGGATCAAATAGAAGAGCCGCATGGTTTTGTTCAGAATGACAGAGTTGGCAAACTCACCACAGCACGGCTAATAGAGAGAGCGCTTTATGATGCTCGTTATTTATCCTTTCTGTCACAGGCCATAGAGAGGAGGAGAGAAAGGAGAAAGGAAGGAAGAGAAGGACAGAGTATGAAAGAAAGCTACAGTAATGGCATAGTAGGTGGACGTAGGTGAGTGGAAGACTGCATGCGGGGAACACTGAGACGGCTGGAGGGAAATGGCATGTGGCGAATAGGAGAAAGACAGACATGATGATGAAATAAATGTTGGTTAGTAAGAGTGTAAATAGGGTTTGGTCGTTTTTTTGAATGGAGCAGATGGTCAGAGAGGGGGAGAAAGATGGTAAACTAG